AATGATAATAATAACAATAGTAATAATAATAATAACAGTAACATTAATGATAAAACAATTATAATTATAATGATGTTCATGCTGCTGATAATGATAACAATGATATCAAATGTAATAACAATAATAATGATAATAGTAACTTATACTATATCTTATCCCCGCCCTCTCATCTCCTTTATTTCTCTTAATTTCTCTAAAAGGAGGGTAAAAAAAATAAGTAAAGTATAATTGACAAGAGGCGAGTGCAATTCATCAAAAATAAACCTCTTCCCTGCGATGGCCGGGATTCGAACTCGGGTCAACTGGTCGGAAGGCAGCCGTGCTCACCACTTTACCACCATCGCTTTCTACGTCTTTTTCCTTGTTACTTTTTGCCAGTTTTTCTTCTTTTCCTCTCTCTTCCCTCCATCTTTCTTCCCTTATTTATAGTCCTTTTTCCCAGGCACTTACCTTTCCCTCCCTCTCCTCTCCCCATTCACATAGTCTTTATTTTTTTCCTCTCTTTTTCCTCCCTCATTCTTCCTCCTCTCTACGCTAAAGAAAAGACGATTTTTTTAACGTCTCCCACCATAACGCTAGCTATGGGATATTGTATAAAGCGCTAGCTAGGGTCAGACAGACAGACTTACGTTAAGTGTCTAAGCGTATGTGTTTTTGTGCGTTTGTTTGTATAGGTGAAAGAGAGACAGAGAGATAGGACGGACAAGAAGAGAAAGAGAGAGAGAACCAGACAGAGAAAGAGAGAGAGACGAACAGGAAGAGAAAGAGGAGAGAGAGAGAGAGAAAACCAGGCAGACAGAGAGAGAGGGGGGAGGAAGGAAGGGAGGGAGGGAGAAACTGAGAGAGAGAGAGAGAACCAGGTAGACAGACAGAGAGAGAGAGAGAGTGAGAGAGTCTGAAGGGCAGGTTGCTGGTGGATAGCGCTGAGGACGTGGACAGCTAACCCTGGTTCGATCTGAGGAACCAGGGTTACCTGTCCACGTCCTCAGCGCTCTGTTCTTCAGTGGTTCCACACACTTGACCCTAGGTCAAGACCCTCCGCGAGTCTCCCCACGCGCGCCCCTGGGCTTCCTTGGCCACAACTGCACCACCACGAGACAGCCACGCCACCTACCACCTCTTCAGAATAAACAGCCAATGCAAAACTTGTGTCTCCATAACCACCAAAGTCAGGGGGACACAATACCCTGACAGAGAGAGAGAAACATACAGATAGACGGACGAACAGGAAGCGAAAGAAATAGACAAAGAGGAGAGACAGCCAGAGAGAGAAAAGGAACCACCAAAGCCGACCGCCCCGAGAGTCAACCATCATGACCTCCGCTACAAAGTTCCTCTTTCTACCCTTACTCTTTGTTGTTGTCATTATCATTGACAATGTTATCATTATTTTTAAATTGTTTTGGTTAACATTAGCATTAGTAGCAGTATCATTATCTTAGTTATCATCATTGTTATGATTATCATTAATAGAATCTTTATTATCATTACTATCAATATTTTCGGGATATTTTCTACCCTTTACTCTTTTCTTGTCAATAATAACAGTAATAATGATAGCAATAATAATAAAACAACTAAAAAAAAGTAGTAAATTGTAATTAAATGCATCCACATCACTGGATGCTTTGCGGCCGGCGTCCGCTGCCCGCTCCGCCGCTTCCCTAATCCGGCCGTGACAACAACAACAAAAAGAGCATTGTGGGAACATAATGACGCTATTTCTATTTCCTTTTGGTCTTTTTTCTCTCCCTCTCTCGTTCTTCTCTCATTCTTCGTCTTTATCCTTGTTACTTTTTGCCAGTTTTTCTTCTTTTCCTCTCTCTACCCTCCATCTTTCTTCCCTTATTTTGAGTCCTTTTTCCCAGGCACTTACCTTTCCCTCCCTCTTCCCTCCTTCTCCTCTCCCCATTCACATAGTCTATATTTTTTCCTCTCTCTTTCCTCCCTTTTCCTTCCTCTCTCTCTTTTCCCTTCCCCATGCTTCCTCCTTCTCCTTGCTCCCCTTTCCCTAGTCTTTCTTCTTTCGTTCCCTCTTTTCCACCTCTTTTCTCAATTTTCCTAGATTTTCCTCTTCCTTTATCTCCTCTTTCCCTCATCCTTACTTCCCCCATTTCTTCTTCCCCTCTCTCTTTCTTCTCTCATTCTTCCTCCCTCCCTTTCTTCTCCACCTCTCTTTTCTTCTTCTCTCATTCTTCCTCCCTCCCTTTCTTCTCCACTCACTCTTTCTTCTCTCATTCTTTTCCCTCCCTTTCTCTCCACCTCTCTTTCTTCTTCTCTCATTCTTCTCTCCCTTCTCCACCTCTTCTCTCTTCTTCTTTCCTCTCATCTCTCTTTCTTCTTCTCTCCTTCCTCCTCCTTTTCTTCTCCACCTCTCTCTCTCTTCTTCTCTCATTCTTCCTCCCTCCCTTTCTTCTCCACCTCTCTCTTTCTTCTTCTCTCATTCTTCCTCCCTCCCTTTCTTCTCCACCTCTCTCTTTCTTCTTCTCTCATTCTTTCT